TGTTTTAGCCTCCCAAGCAGCTGGGGACTACAGGTATGTGCCACCACCTGGCTAATTAAAAAAATATACTTACCTGGGTACAGTGGCTCACTCCTTTAATCCTAGCACTTTTAGAGGCTGAGGTGAGAGGATCACCTGAGCTCAGGAGGCTGGGATCTTATCTCTACAATAAATAAAAAAAATTAGCCCGGTGTGGTGGTACGTACCTGTGGTTTCAGCTACTTGGAAGGCTGAGGTAGAAGGATCACCTGAGCCCAGCACGTGGCTGTGAGCACATCCCACTGCACTTTAGCCTTGGTGATAGAGTGACACTCTGGCTTAAACACACGTGCGCACGCGCGCGCACACACGCATGCATGCACGCGCGCGCGCACACACACACACTTTGTAGAGGCAAGGTCTTAATAATTGCGCAGGCTAATTTGGAACTCCTGGCCTTAAGCTTTCCTCACACTTTTACATCCTAAAGTGGTGGGTTAGGCTGGGTGTGGTGACTCATGTCTGTAATCCTAGCACTTTGGGAGGCTGAGGTGAGAGGATTGCCTGAGCTCACGGGTTCGAGACCAGCCTGGAGAACTTGGTGAGATCACTTTTCTACAATAAATCAAGAAAAATTAGTCGGACGTGGTGTTGTGCACCTGTGGTTCCAGCTATTTGGAAAGCTGAGGCAGAAGGATCGCCTGAGCCTGGCAGGTTGAGGCTGTGGTGGCTGTGAGTGTGCCACTGCACTCCAGCCTGGGCAATAGAGTGAGTCTCTAACTCAAAAAAATAAATAGATAAATAAAATGGTTGAATAACAGATGTGAGCCACTGTGCCTGGTCCCATCTTACGTTTAAATGTTGATAATGATTATTTTTTATTAATTAATCTTCTGCCTGTATCTTAACAGTTTATTTCTCACATCTGTGTAGGCTGGGAATTATAAGGTCAAGGTGCCATTTGGTTTGGTTCCCTAGTAAGGTCTCTTTCTGGCTGCAGACGCCACCTTCCTGCTGTGTTGTCATATGGCACACACAGAGGGGGTGCAGGGAGAGAGTAGGAAAGATTGACTGATTCAACACTTGATTGTGAAATATGGTTTTTGTTAGTTGGTTTTGCAATAATTGTAAACATTGTTTCTTTTCTTTTTTTTTTGAGTTATGAGTCTCACTCTGTTGCCCAGACTGGAGTGCCGTGACACACTCTTGGTCACTGCAGCGTTGACCTGCTGGGCTCTGGCAGTCCTCCCACCTCAGCCTTCCAAGTAGCCAGAACCACAGGGCGTAATATCACGCCCAGCTAATTTTTGATTTATTGTAGATATGAGGTCTTGCCAAGTTGCCCAGCTGGGTCTTGAACCTGTGGGTTCAGGCAATCTACTCGCCTCGACCTCCCAAAGTGCTGGGTTTACAGGGTGAGCCACTGAGCCCAGCCAACAGTGTTTCTGTAAACAGTGTATAAACATGTTTTATCTGGCTCTTTGATTGTATGTCAGGTTTTCAAATATGACTTTAAAAACACTTTGCAAATTTTGTTCTTTCCATTGCTACGGCCTTAGTTAGGTGGTAGTCATCTCCTGTCCACACTACTCTGGTGATCTCTGGTGTACTGGGTCTCCTGTTTACTATTATTGTGTTATTTAGAGGTCAAGGACATTTATAGTTCTAAAGACTGAGCCTGTGTTTACCCAGTTTATATAAGACTCCTTATTGTCTACCAACTGAACTGTTAGCATGCCATGCCGATGCTTTAAGGCCAGCCTCTGCCAGATCCTGCTTTTATTCTCTTTCCTTTCACTTTATGGTTTAGGGTTCTGAACTACTTGTAGTTTGTTCTTTTTATTAAATTTATTTTAAAGATGTGCGGGACTATGCTTTGATTGTTTTATTCATTCATTCCTTTTTTTTTTTTCCCCTGAGATGAGGTCTTACTCTGTCTCCCAGGCTAGAGTGCAGTGGCATGATCATGGTTCACCACAGGTTCAAACTCCTGGGGTCAAGTTACCCACCTGCTTCAACCTCCTGAGTAGCAGGGTCTATAGATGCGTGCCACAATGACCAGCTAATTTGAATTGTTTTGAAGAGATAAGATCTCGGTATGTTTCCCACGGTGGTCTTAAAGTCCTGGACTCAAGTAGTCTACCCTTCTCAGCTTCCCAAAGTGCTGGGATTATAGATGTGAGCTACCACACTTCGTTTCATTTGTACCTTTCAGGCTTTTTAGGCCCTCATACTGGAATTTTCTCTCTAGTAATTTACCTTTAGAAATTGTTAAGGTGTTCCATTTTGCCCTCCAATTATGTTTTTCACTTTTTTTTTCTTTTGAGTTGGAGTCTCTGTTGCCCAGGCTCGAGTGTAGTGGCAGGCTCACAGCCACCATAACCTTTACCTCCTGGGCTCAGGTGATTCTTCCGCCTCAGTTTTCCAAGTAGCTGGAACCACAGGTGTGTACCACCTCACCTGGCTACTTTTATTTCATTTTTTATTTATTGTAGAGACAAGCTCTCACTAAGTTGTTCAGACTGATCTTGAACCCCTGGACTCAGGTAATCCTCCTACCCTGGCCTCCCAGAGTGCTGGGATTACAGGCTGAGCCACTGTGCTTGGCATGATTTTCACTTTGTAGTGTTATTTTTTATTTTTTTGAGTTGGAGTCTCACTCTGTCACCCAGGCTAGAGTGCAGTGGCACGCTCACAGCCACCACAGCCTCAACTTGCTGGGCTCAGGTGATCCTTCCAAGTAGCTAGAACTACAGGCGCACGCTACTACTACGCCCATAGTATTCTTTTTGATTTATTGTAGAGACGAGGTCTCACCAAGTTGCCCAGGCTGGTCTCAAACACCTGGGCTCAGGCAATCCTCTTGCCTTGGCCTCCCAAAGTGTTGAGATTACTGGGCTGAGCCACCGTACCCGGTTTTTTAGTAGTATTTTTAAGAAGCAGCTTGGTCGTGGTAGCTCATGCCTATAATAGGAACACTTTGGAACTGCAAGGCATTAGGATTGCTTGAGGCCAGGACTTCAAGACCAGGTGGGTAACATAGCAAGCCCCTCTCTCTATTTAAATAAATATTAGAATTATAGATAAACAATAAAAAAATAACTGAATGATTATGAAAATTAGCGGCTTTGGTGGTGCGTGTTTGTAGTTCCAGCTACTTGTAAGGCTGAGATGACATGATCCAGTCTGGGTGACAGAGTGAGACTCTGACTCCAAAAAAAAAATATAGTCATAGTTTGTTTTTTTGTTTGTTTGTTTGTTTTGAAACAGAGTCTTGCTTTGTCGCTGAGGCCTGGAGTGCAGTAGCATGATCAAAGCTCACTGTAGCCTTGAACTTTTGGCTTCAAGTATTACTCTAGCCTTGGTCTTCCAAAGTACTGGGACTATAAGCATGAGTCACTGCACCTATCCCTTAACGTGAATTTGCATATAAAATGATTTTTATTTCCTTTTTTATAAAGTGAGAAGTTGTTTTTTTTTTTTTGAGTTGGAGTCTCACTCTGTCGCCCTGACTGGAGTGCAGTGGCCACTCCCGGCCACCGCAGCCTCGACCTGCTGGGCTCCGGCGATCCTTCCGCCTCAGCCTTCCGAGTAGCCAGAATTACAGGCATGCGCTACCACGCCCAGCTGATTTTTTGATTTTATTGTAGAGATGAGGTCTTGCTGCCCAGGCGGGTCTCGAACCCACGGGCTCAGGCAATCCACTCACCTCAGCCTCCCAAAGGCGCGGGATTACAGGCTGAGCCACCGAGCCCGGCGGGTGAGAAGTTTTTAATCATGTTTATCTCTTACTTTCTCTTGTAACCTTTTCTACTGCAGTGAGAGAGCTAATTTAATCCTGAGTGTGTAGAAGATATGTGTACTAGATAAATTTCATGATAATGTTTTTTTAGGTGTGATTTGTTTTATATTTAATAATTGTATATATAGAACCTTGGACAACCAGGAAATTATAGACTAACTAGAATTCTTTTTGTTGTTGTTGGCATTTTGTTTTTCTTTAAAATTTCCCTCTTTTGAAAGATCAAATTTTACTTTTTCTGGAAAACCAATATTTGGCACCCTGCACTTGCCATCTCTGGCAGTATTGTGATCTTGTCTCGTTTCTCAAGGGTGGATGTGGTGAGGAATCCATGCGAAGTACCCAGTGTAGTGCCTATCTTTTAGAAAGCTACTCCATTCACATTAGCAGACTGTATCTGGCTCTGTGCTGACACATGCCTTTCTCCTTATACTTTAGCTTAGTGTTTTTAGAATTTTGTTGGTTATTTGTTCTTTTTTCATTAATATATTTATGTTGCTGTAGCTTTTTATATGTCCTCTTTGTTTTCTGACAATGAAGCTATAAAACTTTATAAGTTGATGGTAAAGGAAACTTACATGACTCTAGTTAATGGCAGTAATAAAAGAAACTTAGTTGCTACTATCTTAATTTGTTCTGTGATTAGCTCATCAGTGTCTAACTGTTTTTATTTTTTTAATTAATTTATTTTTTTGAGTTGGAGTCTCACTCTGTTGCTCAGACTGGAGTGCAGTGGCCGCTCCTGGCCACCGCAGCCTCGACCTGCTAGGCTCTGGCAATCCTTCCTTCTCAGCCTTCCAATTAGCTGGAACCACAGGCGCGCGCTACCACGCCCAGCTAATTTTTGGTTTATTGTAGAGATGAGATCTCACCAAGTTGCCCAGGCAGGTCTCGAACCCACGGGCTCAGGCAGTCCACTCACCTCAGCCTCCCAAAGTGTGGGATTACAGACTGAACCACTGAGCCCGGCTGTCTGTTTTTAAATGGATGCCACATCACCAGACCAAACCACTGATTCTTTCATAAAGTCTTAAGTATTTTCTTGCCTTGTGAATTGAATAGTTAAAATTTTACTTGTATGTGGTCTACTCTACATCTAGTCGAGTGGGCATGTTAGCGTGTGCAGACAGGCTCCTTTGGCAATGGTGGTGTGGCTGTTCCCTTGATGTTGAGCAGTCATGTGTTTGAGGTACTGATGCTGGTTCTTGTTCTTACCTAGTATCCAACCGGAGGCCTTATCGGCAGTACTACGTGGAGGCCTTTGGAGACCCTTCTGAGAGAGCCTGGGTGGCTGGAAAAGCAATCGTCATGTTTGAAGGCAGACATCAATTCGAAGAACTACCTGTCCTTAGGAGAAGAGGGAAGCAAAAAGAAAAAGGCTATAGGCATAAGGTAGGAAAAACAAGGATTTAAAAAATGAACTCCTTGGGGGTCAGCAAAAAGGAATCAGGGAATTAGCATCATATTTTTGAAATATACTTTATTTCCTTCGGTATTCGAGTATCTGTGAGAAAATAGGTAGGAAGAAGAAGTCTTTTTGCAATGATCTGGGCTGTCTTTTGAAATATTTATACTCGGTTTTTTGAGAAATCATTTTAGTTACCTCTGCTGTGGTACACAGAGAAGTGACAATATGACATAGCATGACCAGTCTTGTCTTTTATGCAACAAGAAAATGATTATAAAAATGAGGCATACTGCTTCTTACCTTCTGGATTAATTATTTTTCTTTTATTTATTTATTTATTGTTTTTTTGAGGTAGAGTCTCACTCTGTCACCTAGGCTGGAGTACAGTGGCATGCTCCTGGTCACTGCAACCTCAACCTGCTGAGCTCAGGCGATCCTTCCACCTAGTCTTCCAAGTAGCTGGAACTACAGGCACGTGCCACCACACCCAGCTAATTTTTTGATTTATTATAGAGACGAGGTCTCGCCAAGTTGTCCAGGCTGGTCTCGAACCCATGGGCTCAGGAAATCCTCTCACCTTGGTCTATCAAAGGGCTGGGATTATACAGGCTTGAGCCACCATGCCCGGCCTAGTTATTTTTCTTAAAAACAAAAAAGAGAAGCTTTATTTTCTTTTTCTTTTTCATGTTTGTCAAGTGTTGCAATTTCAAACCTGGTTATATTTTATTTATGAATTTTGTAGTTTTGTTTCTTTTTCTTGATGTTCTGTGTTAAAATTGGCCAAGAAAATTTTCAGCTTTTCTTTTAATACTTCTTCCCTCAAATTTTTAAAATGCGTTAAAATACACATGAAAGCCAGGTGTGGTGGCTGACACCTATAACCCCACATGAAATTTATCATCTTAAGCCTCTTCAAGTGTATAGTTAAGTGGTATTTGTGGATAATATGCAAACATCTATCTCCATAATTTTTTATCTTTTTTTTTTTTGAGTCGGAATCTTACACTGAGACCCAGGCTGGAGGGCAGTGGCACTCTCCCGGCCACTGTAGCGTCGACCTGCCGGGCTCAGATGATCCTTCTGCTTCAGCCTTCCAAGTAGCTGGAACTATAGGCATGCATCACCACGCCTGGCTAATTTTTTTTTTTTTTAATTGTAGAGATGAGGTCTTGCCAAGTTGCCCGGGCGGGTCTCGAACCCGTGGGCTCAGGCAATCCTCTCACCTTGTCCTCCCAAAGTACTGGGATTATAGGCATGAGCTACCGTGCCTTCCCTATCTCCATAATTATTTTCCTCCTGTACAAGTAAACCTGTACCTGTGAAACAATAATTCTCCATTTCCCCCCCTCTCCCTTATCCCCTATATACCTATTCTGCTGTTGGTCTCTATGGTCTAATCTTTTATATTCAATTTTTAAGAAGTGATTCTTCTTAGATTGGAGTTTTATATTCCCCTCTGTGTTTAAATACTTTTGGAGTATTTTTAAAAATCATGATTAGAATGATTTAGAGTTAGAATATATGGTCTGCCACTGAAAATTTGAGTTATCAGAAACTTGGTGTCTTCATTATTAAAACTAGTATAATAACTTGTGCCTTGTTAAACTGTTGTGAGGTGGATTGCCTGATCCCGTGGGTTCAAGACCTGCCTGGGCAGTGAGACCTCATCTCTACAATAAATCAAAAAATCAACTGGGCGTAATAGCGCATGCCTGTAATTCCGGCTACTCGGAAGGCTGAGGCGGAAGGATCGCAGGAGCCCAGCAGGTCAAGGCCACTGCACTCCCGTCTGGGCAACAGAGTGAGACTCCAACTCAAAAAAAAAAATGTTGTGAGGATTAGAAATAAGTATATAGCCGGGCTCAGTGGCTCAGCCTGTAATCCCGCGCCTTTGGGAGGCTGAGGTGAGTGGATTGCCTGAGCCCGTGGGTTTGAGACCCCCCTGGGCAGGCAAGATCTCATCTCTACAATAAATCAAAAAATCAGCCGAGCCTGGTAGCGCTCACCTGTAATTCTGGCTACTCGGAAGGCTGAGGTGGAAGGATCGCCGGAGCCCAGCAGGTCGAGGCTGCGGTGGCCGGGAGCGGCCACTGCACTCCAGTCTGGGCAACAGAGTGAGACTCCAACTCAAAAAAAAAAACAAAACAAAACAAAAAGAAATAAGTATAAAATACTTAGTATATTATAAGATTGATGCTCTAAAAGCAATTAGTATGTGTTGTTAGGTTGAAGGAGGTTGTTAATTGCATCTTTTCTAATATTTTGAGTGGGTAGCCATATTTCTTTTTTTTTTTTTAACATCTTTAGCTATGAAGATTTACTAACTTTTTTTTCAAAGAATTTTTCTAGGGCTTTTAGGTTCTGCAAAACTGATTTACTCTGGTCATAGTCATGAGCATTTATGGGTGTGTGTCTGTGTGTAAAAGAAACTAGGCGATCAGTTTATTCCCTTATAATAGGAGGCACCTTGTCTGGTGACCTGATGTTCTACAGGCTCTGCAGAGCCTCCCCTTCACCTGTATTCAAGACTTTGTGAATGCTAACTGGTGGTTAGAATCTTGACTAATATCGATTGTTCTGAGGCAAGAAGGCAATAAGGGTCTGGAAAATTAAGGGTGTTTCACAGAATATCATGTCAATGTTCTCTTGTTTTGATGAATCAAGAAAAGAACTTATGTATTTTGCTATGCCCAAGGTGTCCTTGGATCTCTGAACCACCTGATTAAGCCCAGTGAACTGTTTTTCTTACAATCTGTTTGTATGTAGCATGTAAAATAATCTGATTAGTCAAGTGCCTAGTGACAACTGGATCTCTCAATTTCAGGTTCCTCGGGAGCAAATCTGACCTGCTCATTCCTTTTGCCCTTTTTCCCCATATTCATCTTCTTTAACCTTTTCCCTTTTTAATGCAGCTGAACATATGTTTACGCTTCATAAGTGAAGCAAATAAGTTTTTCCTCTAAGGTATAGTGGAGTAAAGAAGGATGGATCCAGTGTTGTCAGTTTTAGCTTAACTACGGTCCACTCCTTTGTGCTTATTAATGTAAGGAGGGTGGAGTGTTTGTGAGATCAGTCTTTCCTCTAATCATACATTTTATGGGTGGAAATAGTATCCAGGTATCCCCATTGGTTGTTCGTGTGCTACATAAACTCACATGCTAAGTGCCTGATCAATTCTCCAAAGGGCCTTGAAGAAGCCAAACAGGTCTGGAAAATCTTGACAGGTGTTTATAGATCATCTCACTGTTCCCCCTCCCATTTCTTTGGTAAGTGATTTTTTTCTCTTTTAAATTTAAGGTTCCTCAGAAAATCTTGAGTAAATGGGAAGCCAGTGTTGGTCTTGCTGAACAGTATGATGTTCCCAAAGGGTCAAAGAACCGAAAATATATTCCCAGTTCAGTCAAGTTGGACAGTGAGGAAGATATGCCATTTGAAGACTGCATTAATGATCCTGAGTCAGAACATGACTTGTTGCTTAATGGCTGCTTGAAATCCCTGGCTTTTGATTCTGAACATTCTGCAGATGAGAAGGAAAAGCCTTGTGCTAAGTCTAGAGCCAGAAAGAACTCTGATAATCCCAAAAGGACTAGTCTCAAAAAGGGCCACATGCAATTTCAAGCACATAAGGAGGAACGGAGGGGAAAGATTCCAGAGAACCTTGGCCTAAACTTTATCTCTGGGGATGTATCTGATAAGCAGGCCTCTAATGAACTTTCCAGGATAGCAAACAGCCTCAGTGGTTCTAGTAGTGCCCCGGGAAGTTTTTTATTTTCTTCTTGTGGAAAAAACACTGCAAAGAAAGAATTTGAGACTACAAATTGTGACTCTCTTTTGGGCTTGTCTGAGGGTGCCTTGATCTCGAAACGTTCTGGGGAGAAGACCAAACCCCAGCGTAGTCTGCTGGGCAGTTCAAAAGTACAGCTCTGCTATATTGGAGCGGGTGATGAGGAAAAGCGAAGTGATTCCATTAGTGTGTGTACCACTTCTGATGATGGAAGCAGTGATTTGGATCCTGGAGAACACAGCTCAGAGTCTGATAACAGTGTCCTTGAGATTACGGATGCTTTTGATAGAACAGAGAACATATTATCTATGCAGAAAAATGAAAAGATAAAGTATTCTAGGTATCCTGCCACAAACACTAGGGTAAAGGCAAAACAGAAGTCTCTCATTGGCAGCTCACACACAGACCACTTAATGGATTGTACTAAGACAGCAGAGTCTGGAACTGAGATTTCTCAGGTTAACCTTTCTGATCTGAAGTCATCTACTCTTGTCCACAAACCCCAGTCGGATTTTAGAAATGATGGCTTCTCTCCAAAATTCAGCACACCATCAAGCATTCCCAGTGAGAACTCACTAATAAAGAGTGGGGCATCAACTCAAGCTCTGTTACATTCAAAAAACAAACAGCTTAAAATCCAAAGTATAAAGTGCAAACATAAAGAAAATCCAATTGTGGTAGAAGCTCCAGTTACAAATGAGGACTGCAGTCTGAAATGCTGCTCTTCTGATACCAAAGGTTCTCCTTTGGCCAACATTTCTAAAAGTGGGAAAGTGGATGGTCTAAAACTACTGAACAACATGCATGAGAAAACCAGGGATTCAAGTGACATAGAAACAGCAGTGGTAAAACACGTTTTGTCAGAATTGAAGGAACTCTCTTACAGATCCTTCGGTGAGGATGTCAGCGACTCTGGGACATCAAAGCCATCAAAACCGTTACTTTTCTCTTCTGCTTCTAGTCAGAATCACATACCTATTGAACCAGACTACAAATTCAGTACGTTGTTAATGATGTTGAAAGATATGCACGATAGTAAGACAAAGGAGCAACGGCTGATGACTGCTCAAAACCTGGTCTCTTATCGGAGTCCTGGTCGTGGGGACTGTTCTACCAGTAGTCCTGTCGGGGCTTCTAAGGTTATGGCTTCAGGAGGCTCCACCCACAGTGCCAATCCCGAAAGAAGTGGAGAGGGCACTCAGGACTCAGCGAATCCTAGCCATAGTGGGGGTGAGTCTGCACTATCTGAGGAGTTGTCTGCCTCTCTACCTGGCTTATTGGCTGACAGAAGAGACCTCCCTGCTTCTAGCAAAAGTCGTTCAAACTGTGTTACTAGGCGCAACTGTGGACGATCAAAGCCTTCATCCAGATTGCGAGATGCTTTTTCAGCCCAGATGGGGAAGAACACAGTGAGCCGTAAAGCCTTAAAGACAGAGCGCAAAAGAAAACTGAACCGCCTTCCCGGTGTGACTCTGGAGACTGCCCTGAAGGGAAACTTGGAAAGAGGAGGCTTGTCAAGAGGTAGGGCAGAAGATGCTGGTAAAGAGGAGTCCCTTCAGCGAATGGATCATTTAGCAAGTCTAGATGGTGCCCATTTTTCGGATGTTCATTTTGATAACAAGCCCAAACAGTCGGACCCTGAAAAAATTCCTGAAAAGTGCCCCTCTTTTGAAAATAGAAAGGGCCCAGGGCTGGACTGTGAAATGAACAGCGAGAATGATGAACCCAGTGGTGTAAATCAAGCCGTGCCTAAAAAGCGTTGGCAGCGGTTAAACCAAAGGCGCACTAAACCTCGTAAGCGCAATAACAGATTTAGGGAGAAAGAGAACTCTGAGTGTGCCTTTGGGGTCTTGCTTCCTAGTAACCCTGTACAGGAGGGGCGAGATGATTTTCCAGTGCGTAGGACTCCTCCTTTGACAAACATCCGAGAGGAATCAGTGACAGATCTTAAGCATGCTGACCACCTAGATTCAGTTGGGCCACAGTCGAATGTTTGTGAGAAATCCAGCGCCAGCATTGGGGACATTGACAAGGAGCCAGGAATTCCCAGTTTGACACCACAGGCTGAGCTCCCCGAACCAGGTAAGTACTTAACTGGAGACCATACTGATAAATGTTGCTGTTCTTAATTTGGTCTGTGTTAATGGAAGAGCGAAGTGTAAATTGGGAGGGAAGAATTATCACATGAATGAAGAAAGGACTTTATGTAGAAGGGTTTGAATTTTAAAGGTCAGATTTCCATATATTTACAAGAAGCTCCCCCTCCCCCCCACTTTTTAGTAAGATATTTTTACTCCTGTTCCCCATTTCTTTTTTTTTTTTTTGAGTTGGAGTCTCACTGTCGCCCAGACTGGAGTGCAGTGGCACGCTCCTGGCCATCGCAGCCTTGACCTGCTGGGCTCCAGCGATCCTTCCGCCTCAGCCTTCCAAGTTGCTGGAACTATAGGTGCGCACTACCACACCTGGCTAATTTTTGATTTATTGTAGAGATGAGGTCTTGCCAAGTTGCCCAGGCGGGTCTCGAACCCGTGGGCTCAGGTAATCCACTCACCTTGGGATTACCAAAGCTCTGGGATTACAGGCTGAGCCACTGAGCCCGGCCATGTTCCCCATTTCTTACCTTTTAAGATTGCCAGACTTGGTCAGATGTGGTGGCTTACACCTGTAATCTCAGCATTTTGGGAGGCCGAGGTGAGAGGATTGCCTGAGCCCAGGGGTTCAAGACAAGCCTAGGCAACATGGAAAGACCTTATCTCTACAATAAATCCAAAAATTAGCTGGGCACAGCGGCACACGCCTATAGTTCCAGCTTACTTGGAAGCCTGAGGGGAAGAATCAGGTACCTGAGCCCAGCAGGTTGAGGCTGCAGTAGCTGTGATTGTGCCACTGAACTCCAGCCTGGGTGACAGAGTAAGATTCTTACTCAAAAAAGATTGCCAAATTTTTTGGGACTCAAATCTGTTATTATAAGTAATTGAGAAGCTCTGAGCCTACTATTTAAATTCAATTTGTAGTTTACAGAAAGCAATAGACTTTATAGCATGTTAGGCTTCCTTTGATTACTACTTAAGATAGTCCCATCTGTTATGTGGACAAAAGGGACATGTACTTCTGGGAAAAAAAAGTATTCTGTAGTACTTATTTGAAAGTCTTAGATGTTTTAATTCCCTACTGCAATGGGGATTATGAATAAATAAAATATCAGAAGTACCAGAGCATCCTACTCTAGTAGTATAAGGAAAATAGAAATCTTTTAAGATATTAACATTACCCAACATAGTTATTGAGGGTAAAACACGTCCTTTAACATACGATTTCTCAAAGTTTTTTATCATAGTAGTTTTTTTTTAAACAGCTTTATTTAAATATAATTCATGCTGGGCGTGGTGGCTGACACCTGTCATCCCAGCACTTTGGGAGGTGGAGGTGGAGGCGAGAGGATTGCTTGAGCCCGCAGGGTTTGAGACCGCCTGGGCAATATGGCGAGACCTCGTCTCTACAATAAATCAAAAAATTAACTGGGACTATGGTGGCACACGCCTGTAATGCCAGTTACTTGGAATACTGGTGTGGAAGGATCACCTAAGCCTTGCAGGTCCAGACTGTGGTGGCAGTAGCAGCATGCCACTGCACTCCAGCCTGGACAATAAAAGTGTGACTCCAAGTCATAAATAAAGAATAAGTAAATACATGCATAAAATTCGTATAGCATAAAATTCATCTTTTAAAAGATTTTTGTTTTGTTTTGTTTTGAGTTGGAGTCTCACTCTGTTTCCCAGGTGGCGACCCAGTGTCGACCTGCAGGGCTCAAGCAGTCCTTATGCCTCAGCCTTCCAAGTAGCCGGAACTACAGGCGCACGCTACCATGCTCAGCTTGTTTTTGATTTATTGTAGAGAAGAGGTCTCGCCAAGTTGCCCGGGCTGGTCTTGAACCCACAGGCTCAGGCAATCCACTTGCCTTGGCCTCCCAAAGTGCTGGGATTACAGACTGAGTCACCGAGTCTGGCCTGCATTTTAAAAGTTTACAGTTTCATGGTTTTTAGTATGTTCACAGAATTGTGCAGCAATCAGTATAATCAATTGTGGAACATCTGCATCATCCCAAAAAGAAACCCTGAACTTATCAGTCTCTCTTCAATTTCCCCTATTCTGTAGATTTGTCTGTTCTGTACATTTTCTTTTGGCTCTGGCTTCTGTCACTTAACATAATGTTTTCAGTATTATCTGTGTTGCATGTGTCAGTGCTTCATAGCTTTTTAAAAAATTATGGTTAAAAAGCATATAACATAAGTTTACCAGTTTTAAAGCTTAACAGTTTTAAAGTTTACATTGTTATTCATGGGCATTGTCAAGCAAATCTCCAGAACGTTTTTAGCTTGCACTACTGAAACTCTATACCCATTGAAAAATAACTCCTGGCCGGGCATGGTGGCTCAAGCCTATAATCCCAGCTCTTTGGGAGGCCAAGGTGAGAGGAGTATCTGAGCCAGTGGGTTCGAGACCAGCCTGGGCAACATGGTGAGATGTTGTCTCTACAATAAATTAAAAAATTAGCTGAGTGTGGTAGTGGGTGCCTGTAGTTCTGGCTACTTGGAGGGCTGAGATCGAAGAATCACATGAGCCCAGCAGGTTGAGGCTACAGTGTTAATTTTTGTATAAGGTGTAACATAGGGGTTCCTCTTCATTCTTTCGCAATATATTTCCAGTTGAAGAGATAATCCTTTTGTCATTGTGTAGTCTTAGCATCCTTGTTGAAGATCATTTATCTATTTACAAGGTTTATTATAGGGCCCTCTATTCTGTTTCATTGGTTTATAGGTTTTTGTGTAAGCCTGTCTTGTGCTGATTTGATTACATTAGGTTTCTGACAGGTATTGAAATCAGGAAGTGTAAGGACTCTAGCTATTCCCCTCAAGATTGTTTGTCTGTTGGGGGCCTTTTAAGATCCCATATGAACTTAAGATTTTTTTTTTTCTATTTCTACAAAAAATTGCTATTGGGATTTTGATAGGAATTGCATTAACTCTGTAGTTTGGTTTGAGATAGTCTAGATAAGGTAAGAATATTAGGTTTTCCAATCTCTGAACACAGGATATCTTTTCATTTATTTCTATCTTTCTTAATTAAACAGTGTTTTGTAGTTTCAGTGTATACCTCTTTTACCTCCTGGGTTAAGAGCTTTCTTAAGTATTTAATTCTTTTTTAATGCTTTTCTAAATGTGATTTTTTTGTTTGTTTGTTTTGAGTTGGAGTCTCACTCTGCCGCCCAGACTGGAGTGCAGTGGCCGCTCCCGGCCACCGCAGCCTCGACCTGCTGGGCTCCAGCAATCCTTCCGCCTCAGCCTTCCGAGTAGCCGGAATTACAGGCATGCGCTACCACGCCCGGCTGATTTTTTTTTTTGAGTTAATGTAGAGATGAGGTCTCGCTGCCCAGGCGGGTTTCGAACCCGCGGGCTCAGGCAATCCACTCACCTCAGCCTCCCAAAGGCGCGGGATTACAGGCTGAGCCACTGAGCCGGCTTGTGATTGTTTTGTAAATGTCTTTTTCACATTATTCATTGTGAGTGTATAGAAATGCAACTGATTTGTTAGTGTTAATTTTGTATTCTGCAGGTTTGCTAAATTTGCTTATTAATTCAAATAGGTTTTTGTAAAATCTCTTAGGGCTTTCCACACTGAAAACAGATAATTTGGCTTCTTCCTTGACTGTCTGGATGCTTTTTATTGCCAAATTCCTCTGCTAGGACTTCCAGAGTTGTGTTGAAGAGGTGGTGAGAGTGGGGTGGCATGTTTTCCATGCGCTTGATCTTAGACGAAGGAAACACTTCTCAGTTTTTCACCATCAAGCATGATGTTAGCTGTGTTCTTTTCTTTCTTTCTTTCTTTCTTTTTTTTTGAGTTGGAGTCTCACTCTGTCACCCAGACTGGAGTGCAGTGGCCATTCCAGGCCACCGCAGCCTCCACCTGCTGGGCTCTGGCAATCCTTCCGCCTTAGCCTTCTGAGTAGCCGGAATTACAGGTACACGCTACCACGCCCGGCTGATTTTTTGATTTATTGTAGAGATGAGGTCTCGCCAAGGTGCCCAGGCGGGTCTCGAACCCACAGGCTCAGGCAATCCACTCACCTCACCTCAGCCTCCTAATACGCGGGATTACAGGCTGACCCACCGAACCTGGCTAGTTGGAGTCTCACTCTGTCACCCAGACTGGAGTGCATTGGCCGCTCCCGGCCACTGCAGCCTTTACCTGCTGGGCTCCGGCGATCCTTCCTCCTCAGCCTTCCAAGTAGCTGGAACTATAGACGCGTGGTACCACACCCCGCTCATTTTGATTTATTGTAGAGATGAGGTTTTGCCAAGTTGCCCAGGCGGGTCTCGAACCCACTGGCTCAGGCAATCCACTCACGTCAGCCTCCCAAAGGCGCGGGATTACAGGCTGAGCCACCCAACCCTGCTTTATTATTATTATTTTTTTGAGTTGTAATCTCACCCTGTTACCCAGACAGGAGTGCAGTGGGACATGCTTACAGCCACTGCAGCCTCGACCTGCTGGGCTCAGGCGATCCTTCCACCTCAGCCTTCCAAGTAGCTGGAACCACAGGTGCGTGCTACCACGTCTGGCTAATTTTTTGATATATTGTAGAGACAAGGTCTCACCATGTTGCCCAGGCTGTTCTCAAACTTGTGGACTCAGGCAATCTCTTGCCTCGGCTGGGATTACAGGCTTGAGCTACCGCGCCCAGCCTCATATGTAGTCTTTATTTTATTGATTTATTTATTTTCTTTGTGTTCCCATTTCACTGAATTTTTTTGTTGTTGTTGTTAAATTAGGAGAGGTGGGTGAATTTTATCAGATTCTTTTCTACATCGGGTGAGATGATCATGTGTGTGTAGTTTTTTGTTTTTGTTTTTTTTTAGTTTTTCTGTTAATGTAGTCTATTCTGTTGATTGATTTATCTATTTTTCAACCATTTTTGCATTCAAGGGATAAATTTCACTTGGTTCTGATATATATTTCTTTTAATATTCTTTTAAAAGTTTGTTAGTTTTTTAATGCCGGGCTCGGTGGCTCAGCCTATAATC